GCTCCTTCATCCTCCCCTCCCCTCCCCCCCCCGCCCCCAAAATTATTGAGGACTGAGCAGGAGCCAGGCACAGTTCCAGACTAGAGTTTGGAGCCCATCTTTGCATAGGGATCAAGTTGTTCCCTTTCACTCTCTACTCCCTTTTCACAGGTTTCACCCCCTCTCCCTCCTAGTAGAAGATAATTGTGGTTTTTAAACAGCATTTTTCCAACCCTTTAAGAGTATGTGGGATCTCAGGCGTTGATCAAGCTCCCGCCCAAGCAGCCTCAGCCAGGGATGTTAGAACAGGGCAGAAGCGTCCAGCAGGGGTAAGACTCTTTGTAAGTAAGGACTGGGTCTTTGGGTGGGAGAAACCTTTTGAAGAGTTGACTTCCATGGCAGTTTACTGTAAAACAAATCTTGAGGTGGTTTTTGTGTGAACCAGCTTACCACTAACCAGTAAACGGGAGACTGGTGTGACTCTGGGTAATAAAAGATTGTACTAGGCTTGGGACTTGCTTGCTGCAGGCATGCCTTGCCGCAGTTTCTAGATGCAGAACCATTGTCCAGCTCCCCAAGAATAGAATCACCTTAGTAAGAGGCTTACACTATTGCTGGTTGGTCTCACTAACCAAGGAATGATGCAACCTTCGGGCAACTTTCCTCAATTCACGTTCATTAAAAACATGATGCTAACGCAGGAATGGAAAACCAGATGCACGTGTTCTTACTTATAAGTGGGAGCTAAGTGAACGGTCCAAAATGGCAATATAGTATGGCATAAAGGACACTTGAGACCCAGGAGGGGGAGGATGGAAAGAGAGGGTATGAAAAATTTCCTATTGAGTACAATGTGCACTAATGGGGGTGACAGGTACATGCAAATCTCAGAATCCACCTCTGTACAAAAGAGCCATGTAACCAAACACCGTTTTGTTTGCTAAAGCTATTGAAATAAAGGGGGAAAAGCCATGATGGTTATGTCTTTTAAAAATTCTGAGGGGCTGAAATTTTGGAGAAGAGCTATTCTGAAAATGAGGGGTTTCCCTCCTGTTCCCATCCACTATTCTCTTGGGAAAATGTTGAAGTATGGGAAAGGATAAAGAAAAAGCCATTTTTGAGTTGGTCGTGTACCAGATGTGTCCATATGCCCTCTCATTTCACCCTCTTGACCACTCTATGATACAAATATCTCTGTTTTGAAGATAATCAAACTGAGGGCAAACAGATTAATTTAGTAGCTCAAGGACACCAACCATCAGAGCAAGGATTCAAACCCAGGTCTTTTCAGTTCACTCTACTATCCTACTTAAAAAGCATATTCTACCGGGTGCGGTGGCTCATGCCTGTTTTCCCAGCACTTTGCCAGGTGGAGGCAAGAGGATTGCCTGAGTCTAGGCCTGACCAGCCTGGGAAACTTGGCGAGACCTCATCTCTATAATAAAAAAAAAAAAATCAGCTGGATGTGGTGGGGCACACCTGTGGTTCCAGCTACTTGGAAGCCTGAGGTGGAAGGATTGCCTGAGCCCAGCAGGTCGAGGCTACAATGGCCATGAGGGTACCACTGCACTCCAGCCTGGGAGACAGAGTGAGACTCCTACTCAAAAAAAGCCAAAAGGCATAGTCTTACCTTTCATTTCTGTCCTCTCCTGCTTGTTTCAAGGGACAAAATACACTGATTTCATTAATATTACTTGCAGTTACAGTTTTGTGGTATAAGCTTTCTCAGAAATAAGGAAGAAACAGCTCAGGAGTTCAAGGGATAGGGGTGAGAGGGGAAGGGGCAGAGGCCCCTTGATTTCATTATCAGCTCCTTTAAAAAAAATCTATATGCAAGTATTACTTTGATAAGCATGTCTAACAGATTATTAGCAAACTACTGAAAACTGCTCCTCTGTATCACTAGGATTTTAAACAATTGTCAGAAAACTAGTTAAGTAGCAATTTTTTAATGAAAGGTAATGGCTTCACAGAAACAAGCTTGGGGAAAAGCTTCCTATGTTCTCAAAACTGAAAGGTGCCTTACAATCACAAATCTGAAACGATCTGTAATACAGATTTTCCAGTAATTGTGAAATCGTGTTATTTGTTAACTATTTGATTGCAAAATTGTCTAGGGAGAAGCCTTTAGTTAACTTGGAGAATTTGGAGACCACATCCAGCCAGAAGAGAGCAGAACTGAATTTAACACCCACTCCTGAGAGTGAAGGCAAGTTAATAAAGCAAACAACTGAGGTGAGTGTAACAAGACTTCTTAGAGTGAATGTTTTTAACAATCTGGCAGCTTCTCTACATATTATATTTCACTTTATTAGGCTATGTCTAATAAACAGTCACACTGGGGATGTTGGTTATGCTTTTTTTTTTAAGAAAAACAGCTTTGGGAGGTATAATTGACATAGTAATTGCCATGTATTTAAAGTGCCCAATTGTATATGTGTTATCGTATGTATATGCCTGTGAAGCCATCACCGCAACCAAGATAACAAACATCTCTTGTCACATACAAAGGTTTCTTTGTGCCTACAATCCCTTCCTCTTGCCACCCCACACCTGTACCCAGTCAACAAGTGATCTGCTTTTTGTCACTATATGTTAGTTGTTATTTTCTAGACATTTTGTAGAAATGAAATCATATCGTATGTGTTCTTTGTCTCCTTTCACTTAACTATTTTGAGTTACATCTATGTTGTTTGTTATCAATAGTTCATTCTTTTTTATTGCTGAGCAATATTCCATTGCTCAGATATATCACTGTTTGTTTATCCACTGACATGTTGATGGGCATTTGAGTTGTTTTTTTGTTTGTTTGTTTGTTTTTCTGAGTTGGAGTCCCACTCTGTCGCACAGGCTGGAGTGCAGTGGCAACTCCTGATGGGTTCGACCTATGGGCTCTGGCGATCCTTCTGCTTCAGCCTTCCAAATAGGCGGAACTACAGTCACACGTTACCATGCCCAGCTAAATTTTTTAAATTTATTTTTTATTGTAGAGATGAGGTCTCACCATGTTGCCCAGGCTGGTCTTGAACCCGCAGGCTCAGGCAGTCCTCTTGCCTTGGCCTCCCAAAGTTCTGGGACTGCAGGCTTGAGCCACTGCTCCTGGATGTGTTGTTTTTTAATTTTAAACTTTAATTTATAGAGGCAAGTCTCACTGTGTTGCCAAGACTGGTCTCGAACTCCTGGCCTCAAGCAGTCCTCCCATTTCAGCATCCCAAATATCTGGAATTATAGGTACAAGCTACTGTGCCCAGCATCCAATTTTTGACTGTTAGAAATAAAACAACTTAGGCGTTTGTGTACCAGTTTTTGTACAGTTTTATTTTGTTGTTGTTTTCTCTTGGGTGAATACCTAAGAATAAAATGGCTAGATCATATGAAAGGTGTATATTTACCTTACTATTTTCCAAAGTGATTGTATTATTTTACATCTCCACCGGCAGTGTATGAGAATTCCAGTTCCTCTGCATACTCATCAGCATTTGGTCAGTCTTTTAAGTTCAAGCTACTTTAACAGGTGTGTGAGTATCTTATTGTGGCTTGAATTTGCATTTCCCTACTGACTAATGATGTTGAATATCTTTGCATGTGTTTATTGGCCATCAGTATCTATCATCTTTGGGGAAGTGTTCACATCTTCTACTCAACTTTTCTATTGGTGTGTATGTTTTGAGAGTTCTACAGAAATTGTGTATACAAGTACTTCGTCAGGTATATGCTTTGTAATATTTTATTTTAGTATGTAGCTTATCTTTTCAGAACAGATGCTTTTTTTTAAGTAGGCATTTTTTTAATTTCTAAATTTTTTTTATTTTAAAGATGTGGGGTACAGTTCAGGGTTAAGTATTCAAATGTTCGTTATGCAAGTACCCTTGTTGATAAGGTGTGCCCCTCCTTCCCCTGGCAGTTTCCCACTACTACCAATCCCTTTCTTATAGTATTATGCTAATTGTAGAACAGAGTCTTAACTTTTGACGAAATTCAACTTATCAGCTTTTTCTTTAATGAATTATGCCTTTGGTATTGTACCTAAGAAATCTTTGCCTAATTCAAGATCACAAAGATTTTTTTCTAGATACTTTATAATTTTACTTCTTACATTTACATCTCTGATACATCTTGAGTTAATTTTTGTATATGGCATGAGGTATCGATCAAGCTAATTTTTTCCTTATTGATATACATGCATCAAGTGGTGGCTCCGGCACCTTTTGTTGAAAAGACTGTCCTTTCTCCACAGAATTGCCTTTCTACCTTGTAAAAAATCAGTTATCTTTATACTTGCAGGTTTCTTTCTGAGACCTCTATTTTGTACCATTGATCCTTTTTCTCTACGGAGACAAATATCATACTATCTTGATTACTATAGCTTTAAGCTAACTCTTCTCCCTTTCACAATCAGTACCCTAGAAGAGCTATCTACCCACCCTGCCTCTGGTTTTTAACTTCACATCTCTTTTGTGACTCCTGTCAGAAAAGCCTCCTCCCTCACCACGCTCTGGTCCTTGTATACTCTACAGCCTTACCTGACGTTCTGTTCACTCTTCCTATAGCTACACTTAATGTTCCTGTCTAAAGTCTTTGTACTGCCCTCCTGGTGGAATGATCCTCCAGATTGTTACATAATTTTTTTCTTGCCATCAAGATCTCAGACTAAATCTAATATCTTCATAGAGGTGTCTGCCTGACCACATGATCTAGTATGGCCCCAGTCACTCTCTACCACAGCATTCTGTTTCAGTGGGATTTAGCACTTTTTTATGACTTGATACTTTGTTTCCTCTCATTAAAATCTATGAGAGTAGAAACCATTTCTTCCTTGTCTATTCATCCTTGTCATCTGTAACACAGCTTGGCACATAGTATACACTCAATAAATACTTGATGAAGAATTAATAAGTGAACAAGGGACTTTTGGTTGCAAATAATAGAAAAACAGCTTTGACAAGAATAAATCACATTGATTTTTATTTGAAAATTACTGAGTAACTTACAGTCAAGGAGGACTCATTGTAGAAACCTGGGCATCTGTGGGTTCTTTAGAGACTGGAATCAGTATCTGGGCCCCCAACACTGTCATGGGACTCTATATCTGTCTACCTCTGCTTTTGGCTTTTCAAGATTGATAACCTTATTTTCCTCTATATCAAGCAGCTTCCTTCCTAGGGTTTAGGGAAGGGGGGCCCAGCTTGGGAGGCCCAGCTTAGCAGCCCCAACAAAAATAGAGCATCACTTCCATTGTTTTACTATAAAATCAAAGGAAGGACTCTGGCCCAGCTTTGAAAGAAGTGCAGTGATTGGCAAAACCTGTGTAGTATGATTGGCACCTCCATTAGAATCACATAGATGGAGAGGGAAGGATAAATTACCCAAAGGAAAATGAGAAGACTGTTGTCAGAAGAATATACACCATTTACCATGACTACAATCCACACGTATTGTCTAAAGTAGTCTCCCCCAGCCCAGTAATATAGCACTCCATCATATCACCCCGTTTATTGCCTTAATAGCAGTTATCACATAATATAGTAATTGTACTTATTGACCTGTCTGTCTCCTTCCAGACAGAGGGCAGATAACTTGTCAGCCTTATGTGCTGCTGTATTCCTAATGCCTATTTGCTAATTGAATACATAAAGGGAGAATTTCTGGGGAACATAAAACCATCATATGGCTACTGTAAATAAAAAATCATTCATAGTGGAAGAGTCATAACAGAATAATGAGGATGCACTTCATTCGGACACATATATAATCTTTTGACACTGACATTTTTTTTTTTGAGTTGGAGTCTCATTCTGTCGCCCAGGCTGGAGTGCAGTGGCATGCGCACGGCTACCCCAGCGCCGACCTGCTGGGGTCCAGCGATCCTTCCAACTCAACCTTCCAAGTAACTGGAACTACAGGTGCACATTACTACAGGTGCACATTTTTATTTTTATCGTAGAGATGAGGTGTCTCCAAGTTGCCCGGGCTGGTCTCGAATGCGCAGGCTCAGGCAATCCACTTGCCTCTGCCTCCCAAAGTGCTGGTATTACAAACTGAGCCACTGAGCCTGGCCGACATTGACATTTTTAAAACAGTATCTTTGTTCTCTGGGAAGTTCTACTAAGCACTCATTGAACAACTAGTAAGTGGGATAGAGTTGTGATTTGAACCTGGTCCCCTAAGTCCCAACCCTATCTTATTCCTAGAACTTTGTAGTCACCTACCTTTCTTTTCTTTTCTTTTCTTTTTTTTTTTTTTGAGTTGGAGTCTCACTCTGTCACCCAGACTGGAGTGCAGTGGCCGCTCCTGGCCACCGCAGCCTCGACCTGCTGGCTCCGACAATCCTTCCACCTCGGCCTTCCAAGTAGCTGGAACTACAGCTGCTTATAACCAAGCCCAGCTAATTTTTGATTTATTGTAGCGTTGAGGTCTCACCAAGTTGCCCAGGTGGGTCTCGAACCCGTGGGCTCAGGCAATTCATTCACCTCAACCTCCCAAAGTGCAGGATTACAGGCTGAGCCACCGAGCCCAGCGCCACTTACCTTTCTAATTCATACTCCTTCATTTGTGTCACATAAGCATTTGAGGCTCTGGGTTTCATTTCAGAGATGTCATCTGGGTTAGAGTGATTGCAAAGTTCCTACACTTGTGTCTTGATAATTTTCTTCTCCTAGCTGTCTATGTCTGCTCTAATGACTGGTCAGAGATTGACCCAAGTGTTGGTGTGTTCTAGGAACAGTCTAGGGGCTTCACATTTTTCTCCTAGGAGTTCAAAGTAATGCTCTTAGTTTGTCAATTTTATGATACTTTCAGAAATTGTCATTATCCAGAGGACCTTAGGAAAGACAGTTTTCTCTATGTGGTGACATTGATTAAAGATAGGAAATGTTGTGCACTTTTTTTTTTTGAGTTGGAATCTCACTCTGTCACCCAGGCTGGAGTGCAGTGGCATGCTCACAGCCACCCCAGTGTTTACCTGCTGGACTCAGGCCATTCCTCTGCCTCAGACTTCCAAGTAGCCGGAACTACAGGCATGTGCTACCATGCCTGGCTAATTTTTTGATTTATTGTAGAGACAAGGTCTCGCCAAGTTGCCCAAGTTGTTCTCAAACCCACAGGCTCAGGCAATCCACTCAACCTCTGCCTCCCAAAGTGCTGGGATTACAGGCTGAGCCACTGAACCCAGCCCTGTAAAATACTTAATATGGTTTATTTGAAGCCAAATGTGACTGACCTTATGCCTGTGACACTCATCTCTAGGAGATCCTGAGAATGTGTGCCCACCGTAGTTAAATTGTAGTTTCGTTATACACATTTTAGAAAGGCAGAAATTACAGACAACCATCAATCAATTTACTTGTTCAGTCCAAGAAAGTGGGGCATCTCCAAGCATGGCCTTGCAGGTTATAGGTGGATACAAAGATTTTCTGACTACCAGTTAGTTAGCAGGAGTCAGGATTCTACCTAAAGAATTTTGAAATCAGTAGAGGACATGTCCTGTAGAGTCAAGGGGGCAGAAAAAGTTAAAGTTTCTTGATATGTAGATGAAACCTCATAGGTGGCAGACCTCAAGAGTATACATGTCTTAAAAGGTGCTCAGTCTGGGAGTCCCTATGAAACAGCTTTGCAGGGCCATAAAATACTTTGCTTTTCCTTCTTTATCTGTTATATGATATTGAGTCAGTTTGTAAACATTGTGTAGGGTTAATTAAGAAAAAATAAATCTCCCCAGGCCCCTTAGAAATTTGGCAAGGTAAAGAAAAAGTTCAGAGTTCAGTCTTCAATGTCTATTTCTGGGAAAAGGGCTGAGTAGATGTATGGGAAGAGACTTTGATTTTACAGTTTATTCCAAAGAGACAAAGCCTTCACCTGGAATTGAAGGTGGCAGCATCCACTGGAATTGGGGGCTTCTCTGGAGGATACCGACAGGTTCCTTGTGGTTCATAAAATGCTGAGAAGACAATAAAACAAATGAAAAGGAAAAGATGGGACCGTAGAAAAGTTTCCAGTATAACCACAACCTTTGCATCACCTGGAGAACTCTTAAAACTTCAGCGCCCACATACTGCAGACCAATCTGATCTTTCTAAAGCTCTATAGGTGATTTCAATTTGTAACCAAGGCTGAAAACCAGTACTCAGTATAATCGATTTACAGTGGGAAGTTGTTTAGTATAGAGAGGGTCTTTCTCAACGACTGTTAAATCTCTGTGAATCTCATTCAGTTTTGCACCTTACTGTGGCAATATTACAGGTGATGAAAGAGTATTAAAGAACAAAAGAAAACTTAAAATTCTAAAATTATTTCCTTCCTCCTTCCCTAATCTTGTAGTTTTCTATTTACTGTTCCACAAATGTACATAACGTCCTTGATGAACAGAGATTTTCTTTTGGCTTAGACTAGCCTCACAATGAATTGGACTCTCCTCCTACTGGCAGTTATTCCAGGAAATAACACCAAGGATATTGACCGATTGCTTGTTTGTTATTGTTGCTGCTGCCATTGGGAAGTAATCTGCTATGAGATTGGTAGGGAATGGGGATCTGCAGAGACAGGGTACTGCATGTTCCTAGGAAGAATGAATGTGAGTCCAGCTGGCTTGGAAGATTTGAGAGCCCCACCTTCTACCAGATACTCTGGATGGTGGGTGAATGTCACTGGTCAGGACTCTTCAGGCATTGGGGTTTGTGCTCGGGTAGAATGAGGTGGAGTCAGGAGTTGGTTAAGGACAATATAACGTCTCAACTGAGGGGGGGTTCTCTGAACAGACCCAGCTGAACCTGCCTTATAACTTCATCATGGCTGCCACCCCTTCACCTTGATCACTGCCAGAAATAGCCTGAATTTGATTGATTTCAGCTTCTGCACCTGTAACTACACCTGTTCATCCTTTGTCCATGGGCCTTTTTTTTTTCCTTCTAACAGCAGGACATAGATATAAACAGTCCTTAGGTTACTGTATTAGTAAGGATGGACTATGGGATATATGATATATAATATAGTATATAATAGAAATAGCCTCAGCTCAGTGTAAGTTCATTTAAAGACATTAGATTTATTAGGTTCTCTTCCTCTCTCATTTATCTATGTCTGAAAGGGAAAAAATAACTTGGAAATATGTGAATAAAAGATCTACATATACCTAAATTGCAAGCTAAAGGTAATTTAACTGTTTACTTGCATCAGCACATGAAAATGTTGAACCTGACTTAATATTTTTAAATGAGCTTCAAAATAGTTGAAATGCAGACTTCCTTATGGACATTTAAAAACATTGCTTTCTGATCCCTTTGCCATTTATTAAGACAGAGGCATTTGCTTAAAGCAATGAATTCTTATTACTATTGGAATCACAAAGATAATTATATTAATTTGCTAATTGTTATTTTTCCCCCCTCAAAGTTCCTATAGAATTGATCACACACTCTGCATTTTCCCTCCTTCTTCTACTGCCACTGACACAGTTCAGGCCAGTCTCAACTGGGCTTTTCCAGTAACTTCTTTACTTTTATCTTTCTCACTGAGCTTGTTCCTTTTTAATCTAAGAATGAGAAGACTCTTCCTCCACTCTTTCCCTTCCTTTGCTTACTCTTGCTTGCTCCCTGCCCTCCTCCTGGCTCTTCGTCTACACCTGCTGTTCTCTCAACCTCTTCTATATACTACCCACTTCTAGGCTGGGGGAAGAGATGTTTCCACATCTCTTTCCCAGGGCTATGGCAAAAGGAATGAAGCCCAGTTTTAAGTCTACAATGTAATTTTGCTTTCTGGCCTAGAACCTTCAGAGCCTTCTAGTGGATGCTTACTGCCATTGCATTTTTCCTTTAAGGCAGAAGAAGAAAGTTGGTTTGGTCAGGGGAGTGGAGCCCTTCTGTGGTCCTAGCTCTGTCACGGACTTGCTGTAGGACCTCAGACAACACATTTTTTCTCTCTGGGCCTCAGTTCCTTCTACAAAATATTGTTGTGTAGACTTTTTGCTTTGTGCCTTATAAAAACTCATTCCTGCAAGTGGGCAGGACTTCTGGAATGGCCTAAGTACAGATCTTTACTAATCCTCTCCCCCAAAAGCAAAGATAAAGCTGGACAAAATTGCCAAAGACACCAATTTAAAGACTAGATATTTGAAGGCATACAACAAATTGAGGAGCGTTAATTTTAGAAAATCTATAGAATCTCTAAATCTCAGAACAGCAGAAGTCCAGTATTTTAGCACCAACCCCGTCCCTAGCTCTATGGTTGTGGTGGGGCACTTCTACCTGAGCAGGTAGAACATGTGGGAAAACTGGCAATGGCAGAAGAATCAGAACCTAAATTGATTTTTTTATGTCACTGAGCCATTACTGGAGTAGGAAGGATAAGAGAATTCAGGTTCTTGCAGGAAATAAATTATCAGGGGAGCCCAAGTGTTTTGCTCCATGTGCATGTAATATGAACACATTCAGCCTCTCTCACATTGGTGGACCCACAGATATTCATGGAAATTCATCTACTTGCACATATGCCTATGTGCAAGCACATCTATGCCCCTCCCACACACACTCATTCTCACATTCACCAACACACCTATCCTGCTGCACACATGTCTTCATGTGTCCATACAGTTGAAATGTCTTAATATCTGTCCACCTCCAGAAGAATGAAGGCTTCACAACATCAGAGAATGTGTCATTTTCTTCTCTGCTATATTCGTGCCCAGAGTAACAGAGTCTGGCACAGAGTAAGTGCTCAGTAAATATTTCTTTAAAAGATGGACACACATCATATTCACAACTCCATGCCTACCCCTTCGTGTGTATTATTATTATCTCTCTACTTCTCTCTGTGACACACACACACACACACACACACACACACACACACACTATGTTTATAGGTGAACACTCCCTCTGCCCGATAACAAAAAAGTCTGTGGTTTGGCCAGGCTAGAGCTGTCTGCAATTGCTGGACCAGCAGGATGGATTGGCTCTCTACAACTGGTGACATAAGTGTGCAGAGGGTGGGAGACTCTCTGGGCCACAGTTGGGACATGTGGTGGACTTACAGAGGGAATCAGGGTGCCAGCAGGGTGTTGGTGAAAGATGCCAAACTCTGTAAAATATTTTAAATGGTTTATTTTGAGTGAAATGTGAGTGACCCTAGGCCCATGTCACCCATCCCCAGGTGGTCCTGTGAATGTGTGCCTGCCATGGTTGAATTGTAGTCTGGTGGTTTATATTTTAGGAGGACAGAAGTTACCAAAAAACCATAAATCAACACATGTGAAATTTACATTGGTCCAAGTTGGGGAGGTGGAACATCTCCAAGCAAGGGCTTGCATGTTATAGGTGAATTCAAAGATCTCCTGACTGTCTATTAGGTAGCAAGAGTTATCTGTATCTAAGGAATTCTGAAAACAGTTAAGGGAATGGGTGGCTTGAGTAATGATAAAAGAAACTTAATATGTTGTTGAAGCTTTATGGGTAGATTCAGAGAGAATAGGTAAGTAAGTGTCTTAAAAGGTGCTGGAGACCCTAAAAGACAGCTTTACAAAAGTCTTGAAATATTTTAATTTTCCTTCTTTGTTATGTGATGTTATGTAAGGTTGGAAAGTAAACTGTATTATATAGGGGGAGTTAATAAAAACTTTGCCTCCCCAGACCCCTTAGTTGGGAATTTGGCAGGGTAAGGAAAAAAAATCAGAGTATAGTCCTCCAGGGGCAGGAAGCCTTTGGGCACTGGCTTCCTGCACTGGCTTCCCTGCCAAGCAGACCCCAGAAAGGTAGGTCATCACTAGGCCAAGGCTGCAGGGTGGGTGAGGCCAAGGATCCTGGGCTGAGGCAGGACTCAACCAGATGTCCTCACACCCACACTGTGACCATACTTCTGTCCACCCTTCACCAGAAACTGCAAAAGAACCCCTTCCTCTGCAGTGTCCCCCCAGGACCCTCTACCGATAAATTAGCCCCATGCTCACCTTAAAGGAGCAAGCTAAAAGGGGCTCTATCATGCATCACAGGGCATACATTAGAGGGTGCATTCAGAGCTGAGAGACAACACATCAATAACAGCACAGATACTCTCGATTTCTTTAATAATATGTGTGGTGGCAGGAGAGGGGGAGTCCTTTGGTTGTCTGTGTGAAGACAGCTTTTGGTAGCTTGGGTTTCTGTAACATGTTGACCACAGTGAGGGGAGTTTCAGGCTAAGCTGTACCTGATCCTCAAACAGTATATCTGGGGTTCCTTTTTATTTTTATTTTTTTCATTGTAGGGCAAAGCAAGACCCAGACCTGGAGACCTGATTGAGATTTTTCGTATTGGCTATGAGCACTGGGCCATCTATGTGGAAAATGATTGCGTGGTCCATCTGGCTCCCCCAAGTAAGAGTGGATACTCTATTGAAAAATTGATAATAAAATCAGCAAAGTAAAATAGAAGCATGATTAATTACTATGTTCCTCAGCTGCTGCCCTTCTTTAGCAACAAGACACCCCAAAGTGTTGATAAAAGATGATGAGCTTTGTAAAATATTTAAGATGGTTTATTCTGATCTGAATGTAAGTGATCTTAAGCCCGTAACAACCATCCCCAGGAGGTCCTGAGAATGTGTGACCATCTGGTTGAATGGTAGCTTGGTTATATACATTTTAGAAGGACAGAAGTTACAGAAAACCATAAATCAATACATGTGAGATTTACATTGGGTCAACCTGGGAAGGTGGGAAACTTTCAAGCAGGAACTTGTAGGTTATAGGTGGATTCCAAGAGCCAGGCTCTTTTCTAAGGAATACTGCAATCAGCATAGGAAATAGGCAGTTTCTTGATATGTAGATAAGGCCTCATGGGTGACAAACTTCACAGGGACTAGGTGGAAAGTGTCTTAAAAGGTGCCCAGTGAAGTCTGGGAGTCCCTAAGAGACAGCTTTTCAGGTTCATAAAATACTTTAATTTTCCGTCTTTATCTGTTATAGGTGATGCTATACCAGAGTCAGGTTAGAAAGAAAACCATGTTATATAGGGAGTGTTAATTTTTTTAAAAATTGTCTCACAGCCCCTTTAGTTTGACAAGGCAAAAACAAAAAACAAAAAAAAAAACCTCAGTTTAATCCTTAGAAGCATTCCTGGACCTTTATTTACTATGTGATAGAGCCTGGTCTCTGCTCACCAATAACCACTGCTGAGTGTCCAGCCCTAAGAGTGATACAAGTATAAAGAGTGTCCCCCAAGTTCCCTGGCTCCCTAGGGCTCTCTTCCTTTAAAAAAAAATGTAGAGTTTAGGACTTGAGCCTCCATTTCGTATTGACAACAGTTCAACATCTTTGCTCATATTCCTGAAGATTCCCTGGAGAGGGTGCAGATGCCCACGTTCTTGTCGACATTCTTTTCCTCCTGTCCTCAAATGCTGCTTCTGGCTTCCTGATCACCTTTGGCATCTTGGTCCTCACCTTGTCTCCTTGCTGTCCCAACGTGATCCAGGCTGCTTCATCCTAAACATAGATACACCCTCCTGGCATTTCTCATGCAGCATTAATCCCAGGCTGAGATTAAACTTGTGGTTGATGAAATTGCTGTGAAGATGTGATGGGGAGAAAGTGGTGATGCTAGAGGAAGATTAGGACAGAATGGGAAACAAAACTGAGTATCTAACACCACTGGCCGCTGTGTGGCCTTCAGAGATGGGATCTGGTAGGGGATGGAGGATTAGGAAGGAAGGTGGGAAGGGGACTCTATCTGTTGCATACTCTCTGATTTTTTGGGGGGCAAGTATTTCCCTTTCAAAATTGCAGAAGGGTACTGCACCAAAAGCCTTTGGCCACAGCGTGTTCACAACTGCATCCCTGGGCCCTGTTATCCTCCTTGGGCCCAGTCCCTCACCTAGGACCTTCCCACAGAGCAGAGTACCTTACTCATGGCCTCTCTTCTCGTTCCATCCACTCACCTCCATCCCACTTCCTGTCTGGAAACTTCTCAAAGAACATCAACATTTATCTCCACCTCTCCTTTCCAGACTAAGTCCAGCAGCTTCCCTCTTATATAACCAAAGAAATCCTTCACTGTTTTTACCTCCCCCACCACCAGATCTTTCTGTAAAAATAAACTCTGCCATTTCTTTTGCTGAATGCTGAATTGTCTACTGCCAGCTTTTATAAAATCAGTTTTTGGATCCAAGTATGTAAAAAAAGAACCAGGAACATTTATTGCTCTCAGACAACTTACAAAGAGGGAGAATATACACATTAACACATCTGTATGGTTGTAGCTAGCAGAAAAACAGTCCTGGTTTTAAATGATCCCCCACCCCCACCTGGCCTTGGTCTCTGTCTCCTCTAAGAACGGCATATGATAATGTAGAATCTTTCAACCTTTTCTTTTTTCAAAGCTGTGGAACCCTACTTTCAGACAAACCCTTAATGAGAGTCCCCACATTTGAGTAGAGATGATGGTCAAGTGGCTGTAGGTGGAAGCTTGTGGGATCAGATGCTATTTGGAGCCCTGTCTGCTTGATTTCCACATGCCCCTGTGGTGGCCACAGAGGGGGAGACATGTCACGAAATAGTCATGATTGTATACACGATAGCCCCTTCCCCAAGAGGTCACATTTACATAGAGGGTACTCACACATTTGTGGGAATTCCTGAAGTCTGGTTAGGAAACAAGACCCAACTCTTAGAACCTGGGCAGGTCAGTACAACACAGTCTGGAACCACACAGTAAAGAGATTCTAGACTTTAATAAGAAAAAGACTCCCATGCGGGTTGAGAGTAGGGGGTACAGTGCAGGGCACCAGGCTTCTCAGGAAAGTTGGTTCTCTGGGTTTGTTTACTGCAACTCCCCTTCCTCTGCCACACCTTCTATTGAAGGTAATGATGAGACCCTAGGGGAAGGGGAAGCAGCTCGCCCAACAGTCTTAGGCTGAGCCACTGCTCTGCCCCTCTGTGCTTCCCAGCTTTTGTTTGTCTTTGGTCTCCAGGTGAGAAGTTTCTCCAGGTGAGCAGCATCACCTCCATCTTCAGGAACCAGGCCGTGGTGAAATACAGTCGCCTGGAGGATGTGCTTCATGGCTGCTCCTGGAAGGTCAACAACAAGCTAGATGGGACGTACCTGCCCCTGCCCGTGGACAAGATCATCCAGCGCACAAAAAAGATGGTTAACCAGATTGTGCAGTACAGCCTGATCGAGGGCAACTGCGAACACTTTGTCAACAGCCTCAGATATGGGGTGGCCCGGAGCCAGCAGGTGTGGCCCCATTTGCTCTGATGATGGCTTCTCCTGGAACTTTCTTGGGGTTTGCCACCTCATCAGTGACCAGAATGGCAATCAGTGGTTTCATCATAGTGTTTGTTGTATTAGTGGGGCCTTCTATTTCTGCAGGACTTTATGGTTCAAGAGGTATTTTCACCTCTATTAACCCAGCGAGGAGTAGAAAAGGCATTGGGCTAATAATAAGACTACTTGGTTGGAGCCCCAGCTCAGCTATTAAGTAGGGGAGGGGGTTCTTTGGTCAAGGCATTTTATATCTGAGACTGTTTCTTCCTTTACAAAACAGAGACATGCAGAGGTAGATACTATCACTAAAGTTGCAGACCTAGTACCCTATGGGATACATAGTACCTACTACCATATCTTGGATTATATATTTTTTTAATTTGAATTATTTGCCAACATTTAAAAATATAGAAGTTTTATTTTAAAAGATCTGGATTCTTCACTTCTCTTGGACAACCAATTTATCAGGACACTGGGTCAGCATTTCTGCTCATGGATACTCTGTAGGGCATGCTGTGGATCTGTGGGGTGGTGTGGGGCAGGTGTGCCACCTACCAGCTTCTCTCATGTTACCTGCCTGGACAGTGCTGCATTTGGCTCTGTGACCCACTCCCCATCCTCTATGGCAGTAACACATTAAATGTGGTGCAGTGCATGTGAAGGGGCTCTGAATCCTAAATATCTGTAACCATTTGAACTGTTTTTATTAACAGGCGATCCTTATTAAAACCCCATGAAGATGAGTTGAGGAAATATTTATTTTCCCCTTTTGAATAGATTTTTTAATCAAGTATTAAAGACAGAGCATAATTGTTCTTTTTTTCTATGTTTCTTATGTTCTCTGAACACACTGGGCTCAGATCCCAACGTTGGTCACTGCTGTTGCTCTCTCATCAGTGAGCACTGGCCACCTCACCCCACCCTCCTTACTTTCAATGTCCTCCTCCTCTGTGTTCCGCAACATCTCCCAGCTTATATTCCATTATTATGAGGCTTTGTTTCTGTGTCAGGGGCTTGGTGGGCTCTGGTATGGGGACTTTCCCATCTCATGAGCATTTATTTGTCCCTGAAAAGACCCCCAAAATTGAGGTTATTATATAGAAAACCCTCTGAAGAAGTCTGAGCCCAGGAGTTAGGAGACTCAAGCCCAGAGCTCAGCTTGGACATTAATTCACTATGTGGCTCTGTCCAACTGAGTACCTCTCACTGACTTTCAGATCCCTCATTTATAGAATGAGGGCCTCAGTGGCTCCAGCACTATGAGATCCTTTGCCTCTGAGCTCCATACTGGAGGCAGACCCTGGGCCAAATAGTTCTGAGGGAGGAAGGAGATATTTGTCTCCGTCAATCCAAACTTCTCTTGGCCTCTTGCTGCTCTAGGATTTTTAGAAATACAGGATAGCACAAACTACTTCTGCGTTTAGGAATAGACCCCAGGTAGACTGGTTCCTGAATGGGAATGGTGGAGTGGAGGCAGGGGAGGGTACAAGCCTAGGATTGGTACCAACTGTCCTGTGAACTGATGTGCCTTGCAGGTCGAGCATGCCCTGATGGAAGGAGTGAAGGCTGCAGGAGCAGTCATCTCAGCTGTAGTGGATAACATAAAGCCCAAACCAGTAACTGCCTAATGGTGATGAAAACTCCCAGAAGAGGAAGAACAACCTACATTAGCAAAGAGAATATGGCTCCTCCTCTCTCCTTGCCTTCCTCTTTCTGTGACTGTCATTAAGAAAATTGTGAGCTTGTGGAATAATCTAGAATGTATCCAATTACTCCTCCAAAAATATACCTAATATACATGATCATAGGGCCATGGACTCTCAGAATGGAGAGAACTAATATCTATTGGGTGTCTATTATGCACCAGACACTGTGCTAGGCATTTTATGTACTTATCTAATTTTACTCTCTTTGTTGGAAGGAGCCTTGCTTTTTTCTTAGGCTGACTTTGATCTATGATACTTGAAACATCCCTGAAATCTCTGCTTGAACATTTCTGGTAACAAAGAGCTCTTTCTAAAAGATCTTTTTGTTGAACTAAAATGTCTCTAGCTCCTTTTCATTTATCTTAATCTTGCCCTTTTCAACCCAAAGATCAGGGTAGGAGGACTGGGATGCATTATTCAGAGACAACGGTAACAATCTAGGGATACATGTCCCAAGAAACATTTTTTAAAATTAAGCGTCAACTTTATTATTTATTTTATTTTAATGATAATAGGTACAATTCAGGATTAGATACATAAAGGATCATCACACAGGTGAAGTTTGGGCCTCCCTTTGGTCCTCACTTTACCTGGTTTGGGATCAGGTATTGCTGATATTATGTGCCTCCCCCCATGGAAGTGTCCCACTACTACCAATCACTCTCTTAAAGTATTGTGATAAATGTTCAGGGTCCACTTACTAATGAAAATATGTGGTACTCAGTTCTCTGTTTCTGTGATAGAACACTGAGTATGATAGACTCTAAATCCATCCAGGTTGCTGTGAAGTCCATAATTTTGTCCTCCTTTATGGCTGTGTAATATTCCATCGTGTATATGTACCACTTTTTTTTTGAAAGTGAGAAAGCAGGATTTATTGAGAAGACAGAAAGGCTCCCACAGTGGGAGGGGACCCGAAGGGGTTGCCCCACAATTTTTTTAATCCAGTACACTTTCGATGGGCAGCACAGTTGGTTACCTGTTTTTGCTATTGTGGATAGTGCTGCAGTAAACATGCATGTGCAGGTATCTTTTGTGTAGAATGATTTGAGTTCCTCTATATTCTTAGAAGGGGGATTGCTGGGTTATATGGAAGGGTGATATTTAGATCTTGTAGAAATTTGTTTTCCTCAGAGGTTGTACTAATCTGCACTCCCTCCAACAGTGTAGAAGTGTTCCCTTTCCCCTACATCCTTGCCAACATCTGTTGTTTTTAAGTTATTAATAATGGCCATCCTGACTGCAATTTGTTGGTATCTCAGTGTGGTTTTGATTTGCATTTCTTTAATGATTAGTGAGGCTGAGCATTTTTTCAAGTATCAGTTGGCTGCTTGTATGTCTTCTTTTGAGAAGTATCTATTCATCTCTCTTGCCCACTTCATTTATTTATTTATTTAAAGATGTGGGATACAATTCAGGATCAGGTACATAAATAGTCATGGTCCAGGTTAACTTTGGGTCTCTCTTTGGTCCTTTGCATGATTTGAGATCAGGCACTTTTATTGATGTTATGTGCCCCACCTCCCCTGGCAGTTTCACGCTACTCCCAATCCCTTTCTTATAGTATTATGATAAATGTTCAGGGTCCACTTATGAGTGAGAACATGTGATACTCAGTTCTTTGTTTCTGTGATAGATCACTGTGTATGATGGACTCTAAATCTATCCAAGTTGCTGTGAAGTCCATAATTTTATCCTTCTTTATGGCTGTGTAGTATTTCAATGTGTATGTGTACCACATTTTAAAAACCCAGTATGTTTTTGATGGGCAGCATGGTCAGTTATATGTGTTTGCTATTGTGAATAATGCTGCAATAAACAGGTATCATTTTTATAAAATTATTTGAGTTCCGCTGGGTATATTCCCAGAAGGGGGATTGCTGGGTCATATGGAAGGTCAATTTTTAGATCTTTTAGGAATTGTCACACTGTTTTTCACAGAGGTTATACTAGTTTACACTCCCACTAACAATGTAGAAGTGTTCCTTTTTCCCCACATCTGTTGTTTTTTGAATTATTAACAATGGCCATCCTGATTGGAGTTAGGTGGTATTTCAGTGTGGTTTTAATTTCATTTCTTTGATGATTAGTGAGGCTGAACACTTTTTCATGTATCTGTTAGCTGTTCATATGTCTTATATTGAAAAATGTCTATTCATATCTTTTGCCCACTTTTTTTTTTTTTTTTTTGAGTTGGAGTCTCACTCTGTCGCTCAGACTGGAGTGCAGTGGCCGCTCCCGGCCACTGCAGCCTTGATCTGCTGGGCTCCGGGGATCCTTCCGCCTCAGCCTTCCGAGTAGCTGGAATTACAGGCACGCGCTACCACACCCAACTGATTTTTGATTTATTGTAGAGATGATAAGTTGCCAAGTTGCCCAGGCGGATCTCGAACCCGCGGGCTCAGGCAATTCACTCACCTCGGTCTTCCAAAGCATGCCCACTTCTTAATAAGTTTGTTTGCTTTTTTCCCTTTCTTTTTTGAGTTGGAGTCTCACTCTGTCACCCATACTGGAGTGCAGTGGCCGCTCCTGGCCACCACAGCCTCAATCTGCTGGGCTCTGGGGATCCTTCCGCCTCAGCCTTCCAAGTAGCTGGAACTACAGGCGCACGCTACCACGCCCGGCTACTTTTTGATTTATTGTAGAGATGAGGTCTCACCAAGTTACCCAGGGTCTTGAACCCGCGGGCTCAGGCAATCCATTCATCTCAGCCTCCCAAAGGCACAGGATTACAGGCTGAGCCACCGAGCCCAGCTGCTTTTTTCCCTTTCAACACATTTGAGTTCCTTGTAGATTCTGCATGTTAGGCCTTGGTCAGGTATACAGTTGACAAATATGTTTTTCCCATTCTGTGGGCTCTCTCTTCATTCTCTTGATAGTTTATTTTGCTTTGCAGAAGCTTTTCAATTTGATGAAGTCCCACTTGTTTATCTTATCTCATGGCATAGGCTTTTGGGGTTTTGATCAGAAATTTTTTACCTACTTCAATTTCTGTAAGAGTATCTCCTGCATTTTTCTAAGATTCTTATAGTTTGAGGTTTTACATTTAGGTCTTTGATTCATTTAGAGTTTATTTTTGTGTGTGGTGATAGGTAGGGGTCCTAGTTCAGTCTTCGGCATGTGGTCAGCTAGTTTTCCCAGCACCATTTACTAAACAGGTTCTCCTCTCACCAGAGATTTTTGGTGGAGGCTTGTCAAAGATCAGTTTGTTGAGAAGTTGAGGTTTTGCTTCCAGAATCTCTATTTTGTTCCATTGGTCTATATGCCTGTTCTTACTGAGGATTGTTCTGGCTATTTGTGATTGTTTATGTTTCCATATGAATTTCTGTATTGTCATTTCCAGGTCTGAGGAGAGTGATGTTGGTAATTTAATGCTTATTGTGTTGAATTTGTAGATTGCTTTTGGTAGGATGGACAGCTTAACAGTGCTGATTCTTCCTATTCATAAGCATGGAATATTTTTCCATTTGTTTGTATCATCTTTGATTTCTTTCAGTGGTATTTTATAGTTTTCATTGTAAAGGTTTTCACTTCTTTTTTGTGACTGTTGTGTTTTTTATTTGGTTCTCTGACTGTTTGTTATGGTGTATAAGTATGTGACTGTTTTTTGCACATTTATTTTTATCCTGAGACTTTACCAAAGTCCTTTATCGGTGCAAGGAGGTTTTTGATAGATTCTATTGGGCTTTCAAGGTGTAGGATTATATTGTCAACAAAGAGGGATAACTTAACATCCTCTTTTCCTATTTGTATACTCTTTATTTCCTTCTCTTGTGTAATTGCTCTAGCTAGGACTTCCAACACTATTGTTGAACAGGAGGGGTAAGAGTAGACAGCCCTGTCTTGTTCTGGCTTTCAGGGGAAATGCTTCCAATTTCTGTCCATTTGGCAATATGTTGACTGAGGGTTTATCATAGATGGCTCTTACTATTCTGAGGTATGTTTCCTCTGTGCCTAGTTGTTAAAGGGTTTTTGTCAAGAATGGACACGGATTTAGTCAAAAACTTTCTCTGCATCTAATGATATAATCATCTGATTCTTGTTTTTACATCTGTTAGTGTACTAAATTACATTTATGGTCCTGCTGATGTTGAACCAGCCCTGCATCCTAGGGATTAAGCCTACTTGGTCATAGTAAATAATTTTTTAGATGTATTATTGGATCCAATTTACTAAAATCTTGCCGAGAATTTTTGCATCTATATTCATCAGGGATATTGGCCTGTAGCTCTCTTTCTTCATTGGATCTTTACCCAGTTTGGGTATCAGAATGATGTTAGCTTCATACAATGATTTGGGAAGAGTTCTGTCTTTCTCAATAGCTGGAATACTTTCAGTAGAATTAGTATCAGCTCCTCCTTGTATGTTTTGTAGAATTCCACTGAAAAGCTGTCTAGTTCAGGGCTTTTTCTTTTTTTTTCTTTTTTTTTTTTTGTTTGTAGATAGTTTTATGACAGAGTCCATTTCCTTGGTTGTTATTGGTCTGTTTAGGGCCTCAAATTCTTCTTGTTTCAACTTTGTGAGGTTGTGTGATGTCAGAAAGTCCTTCATTTCATTTAGGTTCTCGAGATTGTTTCCATACAAGAATGCATTAGTAATCTCTGATAATCTTTTGTATTTCTTTGTAGTCAGATGTGACTTATCTTTTGCATTTCTGATTATGTTTATTTAGACTTTTTCTCTCTTTTTCTTGGTCAGTCTGACCAGGTATCCATCAATCTCATTTATCTTTTCAAAGAACCACCTTTTTATTTTGTTGAATTTTTTTTTTTTTTGTTTGTTTTTGTCCTCTATGTCCTATATTTGGGCTTTTGTTTTGGTGATCTAGATTCTTCTGCTGAAGTTAGGGTTTTGGTGGTCTTGCCTTTCCAGCTCCCTCAGATAATTTGTTAGGCTGTTAACTCATGATCCTTCTGCTTTCTTGATGTGTGTGCATTGAGTTAAAAGTTCTACTCTTGCCGGGTTCGGTGGCTCAGCCTGTAATCCTGCACTTTGGGAGGCTGAGATGAGTGGATTGCCTGAGCCTGCAGGTTCAAGACCCACCTGGGCAACTGGACGAGACCTTATCTCTACAATAAAACAAAAATTAGCCAGGCATGGTAGCGCA